TTACCCCTCATGAGACAACACCCTGGTACAGTCTTTCAACAAGACAACGCCCATTGACACATGGCACATGTATCTATGGACTGCCTGCATCATGTTGAGGTCCTCCTGTGATCAGCCAGGTCCCCCGATCTTTCCCCAATCAAACAAATGTGGGATCAGCTCGGATGTCAATTCAGACCCAGTGCCAATCTGCAGGAACTCGAGGGCCATTTACAACAGCTGTGGGCCGACTTGCCGCAGGAGACGATACAACGACTGTATGACTCCCTTCCACATTGTATTGACACATGTATCCAGGCCTGGAGGGGTGCCACACCCTACTGACATGGGACCGGCAATGTGCTCATGTAATGTAGCATTGTCAAAATGCACAAGACAAATAAGTTGAACTGACAAAAAATATTGAATTTAATTGAATGCTATTGTGGTTCACAAAAGAAGCAACAAAATCACTCAAGCTGCCGTTGTCAATTGTGGGTGTTCCGAAGCTAAAGTTCAATTTCATTGTCATGATTATGAAAATGGCAAGACTAGAGGTGGAGGTTTGCTAGATGCCCCCCCCCCCCATTAACTGTTCAGTGCAAATATATTTGTTTTAGGACTTGCTTTCAAACTAACCAGAACACTCCCAGGGCTACAGCTATCTACACTGTCACTTTTTTCACCCACTAGGCTATTTGACAAGCAACTATTTACATTTCACTGCATCACAGAGCAAGCTTGCTGAATGGATGATAGATATATTTGTATCAAATTTATTAGCTAAATAATACATTAGTTGGAAGCCCATTGAACGTGTTATTAACCAAAGCTGTCTGACTGAATATGTTAGCGAGCTAGCTAACTATCTGATGTTATGTTAGCCAGTTAATTATTGTTTACTTTGAAAAGACAGGACAAATGTTTGATAGGAACTAAAACTGACATCACTTGTCCCTATGGAGCTTAATATCCATCCTCAAGTAGTTTTTGCTGGACTGTGTCATTGCTCAGTTGCATAAAATTGACGTTGAATACTGTTGTATGTACTGTCAATGATTTACTCAAACTTGTGAGACCTTTTCATTACTTGATGTCACTGAGTAAATTCATAATACGATGAAAACACGTAAGTGCCAAAATTATTGGTAACCAAATAAAAACTTTTTTTTTTTTTGCTGTGTACCTTGTGTGCAGACCAGGGTTCGAGTCTCCACCATGGCTACATCTTTGTGGAGTTATTCGTTTTGTGGGGAGCCTGTTCTCCCTGGGTGTGTGAGTGTGCCCTGTCATGGTTTGGCACCCCATCCTGAGTGTGTGAGTGTGCCCTGTGATTGGTTGGCACCCCATCCTGGGTGTGTGAGTGTGCCCTGTGATGGGTTGGCGCCCCATCCTGGGTGTGTGAGTGTGCCCTGTGATGGGTTGGCGCCCCATCCTGGGTTGCCCCCTGCCTTGCGCCTAGAAGCTCTGGACCCCTTGCAACCCTGAACAGGACAAGCAGTTAGAGAAAATGGATGAATGGATGGATGGATGGATGGATGGATGGTGCAGAGAATGACCTTATTTCAGTTATGTTGTATATTATTAGTTGTGTGTGTTGTTTTGTTCATTTCTATTTTAACTTTTGATTTTATGATTTTTAATACTTAACATGACACATTCATTTGTACAAATTTGAGTCAGTTCAATCTGCAACATCAAGCTCGCTCTCAACCATACAGTATTGTCTTGCTATCTACTACCATAGCACGGTGCAGAGTGAGTAGGTCTACCACAGGAATATCACATGTGATGTTTTTGATATCATATAACTGTGATATTGCAACGAGTATGAACCACAAGATGTGCCATAGATGTCCAATGATGTCATGATAGTGTATGGTATTTATGTGATATTTCTTAACTATCAGAAGAATACCACAGGAGTGCTACATGGCTGCCATAGGACATTTTTGTAAGGGTTATTGTGAAAATGCCACTTTCCATATACTGAACAGGGACTCGTATAGCTAACACAACACTTTCTCTGTATTTATTCTTATTTCTATACAGGTTTGTTTTACTTTGTATTACATATTTCCTTTCAAGCATAATCCTGAAAGCAAGTGGAACAGCATTTCACTACACAGATGCATAGTGCATGTGACAAATAAAAAATATATAAAAAAAAACTCTTTAACATTCATTGGAAAATCTTGTTTAGTTTTCAGAATATTAGAAAGAGTAGATACATCTATAACATGTAATCTGTAAAAGCAGATTATTTTTTAACAGTGTTTTCCATTTTCTCAAATCTGAAACATGGTAGATTAGTTAGACCCATAGCCCTTTGTTAAAATGTTTATTTTTATCTTTCAAACTTATTAGAAACGAGCCTTAAAACACTTAATTGAAATATGTTAATCACCAGAGAAGTAACAGGACACCACAGTTGGGACATTATGCCCGTACGTTGGTTATCTTTAAACATCCTAATGATCCCGCAATAATAATTCTGAAATTGTCACTCCACAAGCGTGTATTGGCCCTGAAGGTCAGACTTTCCTCATATTGTAATAAAGTGATGCTTAACACATTATAATAATGTGGAAAAGTCTCTCTTTGCCATAGTTCACTGTTTTTACTGTACCCACAACATTTTTGCTTTCATGTTTAGTGTCACGATCCGCTCCGTCCGATCCTGATGTGTGCCACGCCCCCTTCATTACCTCGTGTGAATCACCGATTGTGATCACCTGTTGCCTGTTATGTTCAACCTGTCTTGTGCATTTAGTCCGAGTCTCAGTCAGTCTTCCCCAGATCAGTCATTTTGGTGTGATGTTATCCTGCGGAGTGCCTGGTCTTGTCCGTGTCTGCCCGTCTGTGACCAATAAAACCACGTGTATTGGACTTCACAGCTCCGCTTGCCTGCTTCCCCGTTCGCCTGCACGCCGGATCGTGACATTTAGTGTGTATGTAAATAATTTTGAAGAAGCAGGCAGCTTTCCATGCAAGGTCTGTGTTAGCGTGGGATTTTGATTAACCATCCAGGTCCAGGATGTCGGCATCCTGTTTGACGTGTTCACATTAATCGCTAGTGGGAAAAAAACAAGCATGAGATGCATTTTTATCTAATTATAAATCTGCCATGGGTGATAAAAGAACTGAAAGGAATTCTGAACAAGAAAAAAGCTTTTTTCACCCTCTCTGAAGCTGAAAAAAGGGATGTAAACAGAGAGTTCAAGCGTGCCATAAAACCGCCAAGCTGAGATGCAAAAACAAAGTGGAGCAAACATTTGCACAGGGGAATCTCCGCTCAAGAACATGGCAGCAGTGATCACTGTTTCCTTCAGCTGTCATGCCATTCAAGCCGAAGGCAGCAGCCAGACATCACTCCCTAATGCCCTGAAGCTGAACTCATTCTTCATCAGATTTAAACAGTATCCAGTCAGAGTCAATTATCTCCACAATCAAATCCAGCGACTCTAACCTCATTGTTAATACAGAAGAGGTAGAGAGAGCCCTCAAAAGTACAAACGTTAATACATCTGTGTGCAGACCCTTAGGCACTGTGCTGAGCAGCTAGGGGTGTATTCCTGTGCCTGTTCCAGAGCTCCTTGACCTGCAGCATAGTCCCCCAGATGTGGAAACAATCTAGAGTGATTCCGATTCCAAAGAAGGGCACCACAAAGGTCCTGAATGACCTTAGTCCTGTGGCTCTCACTTCTCTGATGAAGGCGATGGGATTGGTCATAAAAAAACACGTAATTGAAGCAACTGAATTGATATCTCTGCCTTTTGGTCCCATTCGGTGTCACAGTTCAGCTCTGCAGGAGTCTGTGAGGTAGTGTGACAGCTCCTGCCTTGAACTCAATGTCACAAAAACCAAGGAGATAATAGTGACTTTCTACAGCAAACTGTGGCAAATGACTGAGGCAGTTACCACCATCATCCAGGGGAAGTCTGTGGAGATTGTCAAGGAAAATAAATACCTAGGTACAATATTTGACAACCTGTTGAAGGTTTCCTCCAACACAGAGGAGGTCCTCAGGAAACGTCAGCTGCGGTTGTATCTGCTTAGGAATCTAAGGTTGTTTGGGGTCAGCAAGAACATTCTTACAACGTTCTACTACTGCTTTATTGAAAGTGTCAATAAAGGAGTAGAATAAAGTGTCAATTCTCCTTAACCTGCTGGTTTTGCTCCATCAGCCTGCAAAACAGGAACCGTTTGCTGAAAACTGTCAAAGTCTGCTCAAAAATGATTGGTCACCCTGTTAGAGCTTTCTCCACCCTATGTGAACAACAGACTGTGAAAACAGCTCGAGGGATTGTACAGGATCCCTCACACATCCTGTTCCCCATGTTTGAGTGGCTCCCTTCAGGGCGCAGGCTTCACTGTCCAGGTTGCAGGACACAGAGTTGAAAGGCAACCTTTGTCCCCAAGGGTGTCCAGCTCCTTAACTCCCAACATCGGTGATTCAGCATCATATTAATGGAACTTTTAATGGAAATTTTTTAGAACACAGCATTGATGTTTACCAAACAGCAATACACTTTTTAAGTGTCCTTTTAATTCTATATTTATTGTTATATGTGAATGGTTGTTGTGCTACTCCACGTACCTTTTTAATTGCCCCTTGCGGAAAAATAAAGTGATTTGAATTGAGTTGCACTGATTTGAAATGGGGCATCTTGACATCTTATCTGTTACTCAAATTGAAAACAGGAAATAACCAGAAAGTGTATGAGATTAAAGTTAAATATGTGTTAAGACTGAAACAAGCTGTTCATTATCCTTGTCGTTTTGACACAATTTACACACTTCATAGAATGTAGCTTTTTGTTAAAAATGTTGACTTGGCAGTGCTTCAGAAAGTCTGGTTGTGTAAAGCTAGTGCAAGTTAATTATTTTAATTAGAGCTAAAAAAACACGTTATACACAGAATAAGAAGCAGCCTGTGTAGGAAAAGGAGGTTACATCCTCATCAGGGGATGGATTATTCAAAGAAGGGTGTGAACCCAGTCAATATAAATACCTGTTAGAGGGAAGGTCACAGCATCTCAGACAGGCTTGCAAAGTTGGCAGCATGGAGACCCTCATGTGGATGAAGCTCCTGACTGTCTTCTCGCTATTGTCCGGTACGATACTGCTTACTAATTACAATAGAAGTGGTTACATTTTTCGTTTGCTTCAGTAGACAATGGAAAATTTGTGTAAAAAATCTGTATATCATTCATTGAATGCTGTACTTTGAAATGTTTTGAAATATCTCCATTGATTCATCTTGTGTATTCCAACAATCATTGCTTATCAGCAGGGTCAGAGTGTATATGATATATTATGCATGTTTTTATATTTTTAGGTCAGATTGCGATTACAGCAGCATCATCATGTAAGTAAATGCAGTTTGTTATGACCTACTCAAACATAAATTGTCATAGTATTACCATGTGCAATAAATCAGCTACATACAGCATGTTACTGTTACTTACTTACCTGCAGAGTGAGGAATGTATTAATTACTCTTAAAAGCTTATTGGTCCTTACTGAGCTGGGATTGTTCCCTCTCCTCAGTGGTGTGTGAGACCTACGGAAGTGGTATCATCCAGCCCTTATATGACAACCCGTTTTACGTGAGAACCAGCTGTGCTTCTGAATTCATCAGCTTCACCTACGGAAAGGTGGATTGCCGTATCACTTTGACCCGAGATGATGGTCTGATTGTCAAGGTCGTGATTGACATTAACCAAATGAAGACGGTCCTTGAAAATGGCATTTTACATGTAAAGGACAACAAGTAAGCCTCCTAACTCTACTCAACATCTCTCTCTGTACATACTTATCTGAACATCAGGTGTGGTTTGCTGTCAAGGTGTAGTACAGGCAGACTCTGCCTGCACAGAAAGCCAAACTGGATGGTATAGGTACTGTGTGTGGACGGTAAGCTAACAAAACTGATGCTATACTGAAGCTCACTTGCACTGGACAGTCTCCTGGCAATGTACCAAAGTGGGGAAATCTGCAATCTGCTGTTAGTTCCAGTTTTTAAAGAGCAACCTCAGAAAGAAACATGTTCACTAATGCTCTTCAATACCATGAAGCTGTGATCGTACTATGAATATTCCTGAAAAGGCAATTAGGAGATACTTTTAATGACTGATTAAGATTACCGCAAAATCTATTAAAATAATAATAATAATAGTAATAATTATAATAATTAATATTTATTGATCCCTGTGGGGAAATTGTCTTTATGCCTCCCTCAACATGCTCTTTGTAGAGTAAGCTGTCTGTGAAGGGCAGCCACCTGTTGGGGCGCCCAGGGAGCTGGGGGTTAAGGGCCTTGCTCAAGGACCCGCAGACGTGCCACAACTTTAATTTACCTAGCATTAGGTAATCTGGGAATGATACAAAAAAACGTAGTAACATCCGACTGTATCCATTATTTTTCGTAATGTTTACACACATAAGCCATTATATCAGAAATGAGTGTGATCACAAACCCAACATGTAGCCTGAACATGAATGTGATAACGGACCTGATGTGCAGCCTGAACATGAGTCTGATCCTGGACCTGACATGCAGCCTGAACATGAATGTGATCACAGACCTGACATGTAGCTGAATGTCAGCATGATCACGAATCTGACGTGTAGCCTGAACATGAGTGTAATCACGGACCTGACGTGTAGCCTGAATGTGAGTGTGATCATGGACCTGACGTGTAGCACAAAGCTCACTGCTGCCTGCTTTCCCCAGTGTCACCCTTCCATATGATGACATGTACCTGCATATCTTCCAATACGGCATCTACACCAAACTAATAAGCAGAATCCTCCCTGCATCTACATCCATCATATGGTACAATGAGAACAGTAAGATCACCACCTTTTGGGTAAGAGCTCATTCATCAGTTCTGAATGTTGTTTTATGTATTACACAATAAATAAAGAATCAGAAATCAGCTTTATCCGAGTACTTTGCAGGTACATGGAATGTTTTTCCTCATCATTGTGAATGATGGACTATTTTTAGGTGGAGCTGGATGACAAACAAGTGTCTGTAACTTCAGGATTTTGTGGTGGGTTCATTTTACCAACATAAATATGAGTCATGACGTGTTTTACTGGTGATAAGCTTCTGTACTATCATACTCTATGTCTGTCTATTTCACTGCAGTGAATAACGACACGAAGAATATCATTTCTGGTAGTTCTTGTTTGACAACAACTATCACACCTGCCGAATCAACGGTTTGTGTTCCCAAACAATCTACATGCCAAAAGATTTTAGTTTATCTTTTCTTGGACTGATGACTCTCTCTTTTTCCAGGATTGTGATTATACATCCGAAGTTGTTGCCTGTCAACCTAATATTCCCATGGAAACTTTAATGGATCTTTGCCTAATGAATATTGTGGATATAAGCAAAGAAAATGAAAAGAATGTACTCTGTTCATATTATCATGAAAACGTGCAAAGCTGTGACCTGGACAACAATAATCAATCTCCAGGAAACTATTTAGTTAATACCTGGAGGACAAAGACAGGCTGCCGTAAGTAGCTTTTTTGCTGTATTACCACATTTCCTCTAATATACATGATAAGACTTAACATGCTGTTAAGGGCTCAGTGTTCTCCCCGTGGGTATTCAATATGCCTTTGAATATCTTCTTTTCTTACCAAACCAGCACCACCAACCTGCCCTGGTAACCAACAGTTTCAGGAGTTTGGCAACCACTTTTCACCAACGTGTTCCAATCCCACTTTGGACACAAGCACCCAAACAAAGATCAGCACGTGTGTATGCCCACCAGGTGAGGATCACTTTGGTGGGAAATCCAGCAGAAGAACAGGATGTGGGGATCGTACAGTACAAGGATTCACAGGATATTGTTAGGGGACGCGGCAGAATGAAAATATGCTATTTTGGCTCAGAGGAAAATTGGGTTACTGGCCATAATGACTGCAGACTGAGACCATTATACTTTCAAGAAACACCTCAAAACCCATACATTCCAGGAACACCTATATAGCCTGATACAACTTAATGTTCCCTGAATGTTATTAATGTTGCACTTTCTGCTCATTGAATAGTTGCCTCATTAGGCTCTTGCCTTGTTTGGAAGATGTTGTGTAGCTATTGTTCCAGTACTGCTTACACTTGTACCTGGCCATTCATTGGAAGCTCAGCCTAGTTTCACTTATGCCTAGTCAGCTACCTGACAGCACGTATGTTAATAATGTGGTATTTGCCTCACTTGTACATCACTTTAGGCAAAATGACCTGCTAAATAAAATTCATGTAAATCTGTACTGTTCATACCTCACAAGAACACTGTCACAATGTTGCTTGTTAGGGACGGTTCTGAATGACCTTCAAGGGCTACAGAACTGTGTGGCTGTGAAGGACTGCCCATGTACATACGCAGGAAAGTTATATGAGCCCAACGCACAGAGAAGAAAGAAATGCAGATCATGGTAAGGGACCAAATGACGTCGTGTCTGCTGCTAATGATAACCAGCTAACAAGGGTAAAGACATCTCATCTTTCATACAGCACATGTGAGAGTGGAAAATGGAATTGCATCGAACAGCCCTGTCCCTCAACCTGCGCAATCACAGGAGAGTCTGTGAAGACTTTTGATGGTGTTCAGTACAGCCTGCCTGGATGGTGCACTTATGTAGCCTCGGTAGGTGTGGAAGAGAAGTACAGGTGCAACTGCGGCTGCCCCATTAAGAATGCAGAGCCCCACAGAGAATACAGAAACTGTATTAGTATCATGTCATCTTTATTTTGAACAGGGGAGCACATGGACTTTATCCATTCAACTGACAAAGGAAACCGCTTCCATCGAAGAAGTTTCTCTAAGAATTCAACAGGTGTGTATATTGGCTCTTTAGCTGTGTTAAGAGATGAAATATCATTTACCATGTCATACTTAACTCATCAATGTCAAATTCTAATTGCAGGAAACTTATACATTCAGCAAGATGAGTGTGAAAGTTGATGGGGAAGATATCAAGGATTTCCATCAGACTGGTCTGTACTACTTCCTGATGCTATTAAATGCATTGTATCATATACCATTCAACACGGTGGTTATTCTCTGGAATAGTCTAGCTAGATTGATTCACAGTAATAAGAATATATATTAATATTACCGTACCTTTTTAAGCAATGAACAGTAAACTTTACACTGCACTGCACCCCCCTTGGGGGGGGTGGGGGGTGCACTTATGTGCACTGATACCTTCACATGTAGGGAGTACATTGTAGGAACTGGAAAAAAACACCTGAGCAACATAAGCACATGGTCACTACACCTTACAACATAAAAAGTCGTGACTTGCAACAGGGGAGGGAAATGGGGAGGTGGAGGTAATCCAGCATAGACACACAGCCATCCGGTCCTGCAGCCAGAGGCGCTGGTCACAGACCCGCCTGTTCACGCTGGGGGTGTGAAGCGGCGAAGGCCTGTTATGGGGGGAGGGGGCGATGAGTGCGTATCTGTACGTATGTATATGTGTGTGTGTGTATCCAGGTGTCCTTGGGATTGGGGGAGAGGAATGCTTACTTTATAGATTCTGTTAAAAGTTTACAAGCTCAAAAATGTGGGCTGAACTAAACATACGGCACAAATCTTTGACATCTTGCTTTGTGTGTAGCCTAAGGGCTGGTTTATATTTCACCTTTGCGATGCATCCGCTTATGCATCATGGTCACCATGCATATCCTGCGGTCATTGCATTGTAGTTCAAGTATGTCTTGTTGCGACATGCCCATATCCAACCTGACCTATCATATGTCACCTTACAAGCCTGACCATAGTGCCATTCATTCAAGAAGCATTTTGCGGCAGTAATAATGCCAAAATTCTTTTTTATTGTTTAGTTACTTAGGGTTAAGGTTAGGGTTGAGTAGGGGTTAGGGTTAGGGTTAGGTGAGCCCAGCTCCCCTTAGCTCCACCGTAATTCGAACCACTTACACTAGAAAATGTTGATAAAAAGTACAGTGTAGTTAATACATAAACCAGTATCATAGTTCTGCATTATTATTCCCATTAGTGCACGGAGTAGAAATATGCCCTCGAGAGAGTTGGTTTCTACTCTCTTAGCAACATAACATGCTTTGCAATTTTAATGATTGATCCTTTTCAAGATTATTTTATATAGTATATTTTCATCCTTGCTGTTAAATCACTCATTGACAGCTTGTTAGAAATTAATCGTAAACACCATTTTGCCTTATAACTATTACAGAATTTATCAAAAAAAATAAATAAAATCACATCACGCAATATCGTGCAGTTCAAAATACTTGCTACTACAAGATATCTAACAACACACGACATTCAGTATGAGGTAATAAAGTGATGTGTGGCAGAGTAAAGCACCAATATGAAGCGGTGCAGTTGGTAGAATACAGAGAATACTGCAGTAATATTACAGAATTAGTAACTCGCTGTGGAAGCAGCACCTGCAACTAAGATCAGAAACGAAGGAGCCGACCAAGATGATTTTCTGCACCCCAGTGGACATAACTCTTAATCCTCCAGATTGACATAAACAACATGTGCAAGTACGAGCAGCAACACTGCTTATGTAACAACAGTGCAAAGACGCGTACGTGTTTGTGAGTGTCGAGTATCAACCAGCCCTAAGCCTACAACAAAGGCGATATGTGCCAGTCAGTCACTATCAGACTGGGTTGTTTTTTATGTTTTCATCAATTATGTCATCAAATCGCATGAGCCTACCACAGGCATGCTAAACTTCATCCATTGTTTATTAGCATACTGTATCTGTCTGCTGCTCAAGTTCGATGTAACATCTAATTTAAATGACCCATCAATAAGTGAATTAATAGGAGGTACAGCAGGGGTGGGCACTCTTATCCAGAAATGGCTGTTGGGTTTTCCCTGCAACTCCCTATTTAGATTACTAATTAGAGGACTGATTGGCTGAGGAGTCCTCAGACTTGGGTTTCAACTGATTACATCTGTCACCGATCATCTGCCTGACACTGTCATGTAAGGCTCCTCAGAGGATCAAGCAAATCAGGGTTACTGCATGAGGCCTGCACACAGCAAGAAGCAGCTGCTACTAGTAAAGACTTAAGAATTGCCACTTTGAGAAAGACTAAAGCAGAAACAAAGACTGGTGCCGAATATTGTTGATAGATTAGATAACTGTAACTGAAATGTATCCAAACACTATTGTCCTTAGTTGTTTTGTGGTTGAACTTTTCCTGCTGTCCTATTTAAACCTGTGCTAACTCATTTCTGTTGGTGTTCTTCTCAGAAAATGTGACAGCATTCTGGCAGTCTTCCACATATGTTCAACTGCACACTTCATTTGGCATGAACGTTCAAGTCCAAGTATCGCCAAAAATCAAAGTCTACATAACATCACCATTAACTGAGAATGGCCAAACTAAAGGTATGATTTGTCTTATCACGAGAATTCATTATTTCCTTTTTTCCCCTCTTAAGTATCTAGATTTACATGTGTACATGTATGTCCTTCAGGAATCTGTGGGAACTACAATGGCAACACCAATGATGAATATATTTCGTCCTCTGGAATAATGTTGAGCTCTTCCGATGCGTTTGCCAAGTCCTGGTCGCAGGGCGACTGCCCGGACAAAGACAAGAAAGACTGCTCTTCCATAGACACAGGTAGCAAAACAATTTGTGGGCTTGGGGAAAAAACACCATGTTAATATTTACTATTTAACATAAAGTAGCAGACCATAATATGCTATTTTGATTTTTGCAGAAGCCTGCCAGTATCTGAAGGATCCCACAGGAATATTTGCTAAGTGCCAAAGTGTGGTGCCATCTGAACAATATTTCCAGGTAAGAGCAACACTAAGTTATGACAAGCCTAACTGTGTATAGGAGCTCTCACACCACAGGAACTTTTTTCCAAAACCAGAACCTTTTTCCAGAAAAAGGAACTTTTGTCACATTTACTTTAACATGCATTTACTTTATCAGCACAACAAACGGGATCTGGGTTTACTTTTAATTATTTATTAGCCAATTACATCGCTTCAACATAGCTGAGGGCGGAGTCCGGCATGATTTGGTCTGACTGCTTCATACACAGGGAGCTTCTTTTTTGTTAATCATATCAGCAAAGGTTTCAGCTGTGTGTGTGTGTGTATGTGTGTGTATATACATAGTTGATTGTTGTTGCCAAGTTTGGACCCTCTTTGAGCTATGTTTGTAATCGTTCACACTAATTAAAGTTTACCTATTATGCTCAAGGGGTGTCTTCATCATAATGTTATTTTTGTATTAGTATTGTATTAGTTTTAAAGTCTACACTAGAAAAGTACTTAGGTTCTTACAAAAATTGTATTACTTCATAGCCATTTGAAATAGTGATTACTTTAAAAATGCAAACAAGCCTAAGGACCTATGAGACATGTTTTTGAACTGTTCAAGTGGTGATTCCCATTTAGTCACATCAGTTACTAACAGAAAAAAAAACAAATAAGTGTTTACATTTTTGCTAAATAGTAATGTCAAACTGGAACAACAATGTAGACTTTAGACTTGACTTCAACTCTAATTTTGTGATTCGTGAACATCTCTGCGTTGTAGTTCCTTTGAGGCAGTTCTGAAACCCATTTTCAGTACCTACTCAAATCTCAGTACTTTTCCTAAGAAAATGAGGGGCTTACAGTGATATCTTGCTGACTGGTTGACCACAAACACAGCCTCTCACTTGGAAGTTATGTGGAAGTGTGGGAAAAATAGACATGATTAGCGGAGCAAAAATTGCTTCTCCATATTGCGTCTCCATATTTCTGCATCAGAATATTCGATTAATATTCAGTATACTTTTGTCTAATATCACCGGTGTCGGCATGCAACTTGCCAGCGCTATGACTTTATAGTGAAATAACTTTAAACCTTTTTGTATTCTGTGGAAAACGAAAGACGGATCTGCTGGCCAGATTTTAGATGAATCATGAACATGTCATATAAATGAAATATATTTAAAAAAAAATGTGTCCCATTTTGATAGGAACCCCCCCCAATAACTAACAAATAACCAGACAAAACAACTTGATAATTATCCTTTGTCTTGGGGTGGCGGTGTGGTTTTGAATTATGTGTGAAGTTTAACCTAGAAGCTATTTGTGTCTCCCATGCTGATTGAGCATAAAGGTCCCAGTTCTGTTGTGCAGTGTGAAAGCGACATGTGAAAGTGGTCACGAGCTTCATAAGTTCCAGGTTGACATAGTCGAGGAACCAGGGACCAGGTTCCAGAACTCTGGTGTGAAAGTGCCTTATGTGACTTAGTCTAACTTAGTGGGTTTTTTGGGGGAAGCTGTCTGTTCAAATCAGTCTGTTCAAAAACCACTGAAATGCACATGAAGCCGCCCATACAGTTTGATCAGTTGTTCTGTATTTTTGATAAAACGATAATTACTTAAAAGCAGGGATAGGTTACTCAACGCCTATTCTCAACACTGATTCAAAGCGATGCTCAGTAGCCTGACTTGAAACTGTATCATCCTGTGATCTTTGGAAACAAAGCTTTGTTTCTTGGAAACGTGAAACATGTTTCAAAAATGGGACGTGTTTATCCTATGAAATGCCATCGGGGAATAAATCATAGTAATTGGACTGACAAGTCTCTTTTTAAATGTTGGCAATTCAATTATTACTAGTTACAATGTCTATTTTAGATTACTGTTACTAGTAGCCTACTCATGTACTTTTAGTTATCTATAATTACGTTACAGGTATCTTAAACTGTTTAACATTTTGGATATCTAAAACAGACATTATTACTATTAATAACCGAAATGTAGACATCTAAAAAGAGAACTGTTACTATTAAGAATGTAATTTCAGATATCTAGAATTCGCATTTGAGGTATATAAAATGGAATTGTTGCCTTCTCAAATGAAAACTGCAATACAGATGAACTGGAAAAGGGATGCCATTCCTTCTTCTAAGAACTGTATTATGGATGTCTCAGATGCTCATTTGTACTTGTAAGAATTGAATTAGAGATATCTGAAATACTTGATTGTATTAGTAAGAATTACAATGCATATATCTAAAATTACTATTCCGCCAACTATTTAATGTTAAAACGGCTTGTCATTGAAATGTGGGTTGTACATCTCATTCATCTGGATGATACAGTGGGGAGATAGGCAGGTACGTCCTGTTTAGCGCTGCTCACATCTACTGAAGGCCAAAAAGGCACATTCTTTATGTGTCAACACATTATTACACGTTAACAAGTTTTGAGCCTGTTAATGCTTAAAACCTAACATGGTTTGAGTCTGACCCTTTTGGCATTCCATACTAGGGGAGTATTCAGTTCTTTCCGTAATCCAGTGTGTTCTCTACGTTAGTAGTGATGGGAAGTTCGGCTCAATTAACTGATCCGATTCTTTCAAACTGTCCGTTGTAATGAATCGATTCTTAAACCGATTCTGTGATTCACTTTTTTTTTTTTCGTCTTTTTTTGTGTCTGAATCATGGGATCGGATAATAAATCTGTCTCAAGGTTACGTTATTTGACTGAATGATAGCACTGGTGTTCAACAAAAATGTTCAGCTTTACTATTCACAATAAAAAAACAATATATACTGTAAAAAGCAGAAAGGGTGTCGATGCTGAATAAAAACGCGTGTATATGTAGTTCTTATTTTCTTTACTTAAGCCAAATTCATGTGCATGAGTATCAAGGACTACATCACAGTTAACAACAACTGCAATATTACCAATACAATCACGCATACACATACACATACAATGAGCATGACTAAACTTGCATACGTTGTTGTGTAAACATCAAAGTTAATAAATATCTTAGTTTGTTCTTTGATGAAAGACATAGTTTTATTATACAGAAATGCAATGATTTACTGTTGTGATTAAATGATGAAGAGCTGCGTTTATGTTATTCCTTTTAACAGCGTAACTGCATTTCCGCAGTAAACGCCGCGAGGGCTCTTGGGATCGGTTCGCTAACTGTTAACCGAATTCGTTTGAGTCACCGACAGAGTGTCCGAAAACTCGCAAGTTCGATTTGTTCATCGAACGTTCTCTCGGGTTTTTTGGAGTCAGCGAGTTAGAGACCAGGTACTCGGCCGTTCTCGGCACCAGACAGAAGTCTACTAACGCAAAAGTGACGAATGTAAGTGACGAACATACTGTAAGAATAAATCTAGTGATAAGACAAGCGCAGACGGAACATGAAAAATAAATCCGATATCGCGGGGGATGCTTTTGGATGTTGAATAGCCAAAGATCAGTTTTAAAAATGTTTTAAAATGATTTTAAAAAATCGATTCGTTCAGACTTACGAGTCGGTTCAACCCGTTCACTAAAAAAACCGAGTTAAAAAGAATGATTCGTTCGCGAATCGGCCATCACTATACGTTAGGTATATTTCACAGCTGCGTGGTCCATACATGCTGTCTGTTACTGCTTATATATATTTTTAAATATATAGACATAACAACAGTGGCATGAATTGACAAATAGCATTAAGTTAATACAAGAAAAGACACCAGGCAATTGGATAGATTTCAACATTACAGTAAAATCAGCAAAACAGTCCGTTATATCCAGAGTTGCTGTTTGCCCAGAATACAACCACAGGACACCATTTACTCATGCCACACCCCAGAAGACACACTTGTGGTATAGATTGTTATATTGTACATGTAGTAATCCAACTTTACCTGAGCAGATGCGTGGACTATTAATAATCCCGACTACGTATCTGCGCTGGATATCACCGGCACGCCACGCGCCTTGTAGGCGGAGCCTGTATGTCCGTTATAGCTGAACAAAACTACAGCCAAAAGCGGCCTTGGGGACCAAATTGTTTGTCCGTTATAAGCAAAATTCCGTTATATGCGAGTCCCCTATATCCGATGCTTTTTCTGCATGTTCTTCAAGGCGCACGGCCGGGACCAGCAGACCTCGTCCGTTATAGACAATATTCTGTTATAAGCGAGTCCACTATGGGATTTTACTGTACTATTGTATAGAGAGGGAGAAAAAAAGTATCAATAAAAAAGGAATAGATACTAGGGATATTTGTGTAGCACTATATATCATTTATTAGATCATATAATGATTTTGCACATTACTGCTTAAAAATTCAGTACTCCATGATTTCGGAGAAGCCATTTCACAGATTGTGGTGGAGTTGTGTTTAATTCTGCATTAGCACTGGTGCAGGTCACACTTAAACAATTCTGGCTTTTGCAGAATACAGAGCAAAAAAAGTGAGAAGTGTCACTCCTTTAATTCATTATTTCACAGAATGTCCACAATGGATGTGACCACATTTTTCTGAATCAGAAGTGTCAAAACATGGTAGCTTTTTTCGCATTCACATGCTGGAAACTGACACGTTAATGTGCATATTTTGTCAGTGATAACATGTTATTACGCAAAATGTGTGCATTGTCATTTTTGAGCGTGTTAATGTGAAAAAAGAGCCATATACGAACAAGACACATGTGGCTCATCCGTCTTGTTAGTCTCGATGATGCAGTGGTGAGGTAGTTTGGTACATCTTATTCCGCACGGCCCACATCTATGCAAGGCCAAAAGGGCACATTATTAACATGTTTATGCATTATTATGCATTAACTCATACAAAGTGTGCCCATTAACTTGCCAATACTGACTGCGTTAATCTGAAAAAGCTAACTTTTTGACTCTTTTGGCCATCCATAGTCTAATAACATCTTGATGACTGATTAGATGGAATATATGCACTTGCCAAACTGATCCTAAACTGGCCCCTATTATGTTTACCCGCCCAAAGAAATTTTAACCAGTAAAATCAAATTCAAAACCGCCAAATTCATAGTTTTTAGGTGATGTCACATTGTTGTAAGGGCAAAACAAGGTTTCATTCCGCTGGCCACCACATCCGTTTAGCTAACGTGCCAGCTAGTTGTTACTGGATGCACTAACAGTCAAGGAGACAAGCCAGAATTGTATTTCTGCTGAATGCTATCCCAGAAAGAATGAAAGAATGAGAATCATCAAAGGATGCTTTCCCACCAAAGTGTAGTAACCTAGGGCCCCATTTATATGAATAAAATAGCCATGAAACATTTGTACGCACATTTATAAGAAGACTGCAGAAATTTAAAGATGACATGTAAGCCAAAAACAATACCGAAATGATTTGGATCACAAAAAGTCATATAATATCTAAATATTTCTGATACATACTATTTGTTAGTGTAAGTGTATCTTTAATATTAAAAGTTTTGGTAACCTCACTCAGGTTAGCTGTCTTTGTGAAAGTAAGTTTTAAACTTTAGTGTCCTTAATTGTGCATTTTCAGTAACGGGTCCAAAACATAGTGCTCCCAGTGCATATAGCATTAACTTTGTACATGCAGTCAGTCCTGCTACAATGCGTAATATCACACCAGGAATCTGTTCTAACACGACTGATATATTAGTACCCAAGTCCAATACAACGTACGTGTAATTGCATTTGTATTTGAGCGATTTTTCAGTAGGAAAGAAATTAAAGCACTACGTACGTGATTTAATTGCAATATGGTCCTACTAAGAAACACTACTTGCACACTAAAACAGCTATCCGAGAGAACGATAGTGATGTCCCAGTCGAGAACTAATTATTCTTTGAACCTGTTTTTTTCCCAGTGTAACTGGTTAAACCGATTTTTAAATCTAAAAGAGCTTAACTTTTTGTACATTTACGCATTACACAGGTCAAGATCTTAGATTATGAAATCTAAAAATATTTGACAAATTATCATATAAAACACAGCAATGTTTTTAATTCACTTACATTTGCTTTTCGTAGACAGTCTGTAGCTACTGTATGTTGCCTTCAGTGTCCCTCCACCATAACCCGGTGTGTGTGCTGTGCGCATGTCCGGCCGCAAGGTGGCAGTGTCTCACTGTGCCTCCCATGTGGATGTTTATTATGTATGATATTCTTTGTTATTATTATTTCTTATTTTAAATGCATATAATTACATAATTGGCCACTGGTATCGCAGTTTTATTTTGTTTGGCGTAAGTTTTGAAGTCACCATCCCCTGATCCTACTTTTCCTATTGGAAATGAATATTTTAGTACGTGATTTTATTTTTTCAGGAACATATTAGTTACGCTGTAGAAGGACAGATGGACCGATTTCCATTTTCTCGGCCGATTATGATTTTTTGCAACTGTGACCTGCCGATGCCGATTTTAGCCAATTCCGATTTTCTTTCTTATAACTATAATTGACACTAGATACAAACAAAAATCTGCCTTTCTTCATTGCAAATTTAAATTTTCATAATAAAAGAAATTGTTACGCTTTACAATTCCCACCAAACTGCACAGTTACACGATCTTCTCTCACTTAAACAAGTATTAAAAAAAAATGATCTGTGACTGGAAAGAGGTACAAATAACAACTAACTGAAAATGAGTTGCTGTACAGCCAACATTATCTGACATATTTTACTTTACCAAACGAGCAAGTACAACAAATTTAAATAAAACAAATATCGTTTACTTACATTTTCCAGTATATTTAAATTAACGTTAACACTACATTGACCTTTTTCTCCTTTCTTACTCTTCTTAAAATAAAAAGGTCTATACTGTAGGTTGCAAACCTCCAAATAAAACTGAAGTGTACTCTTCCAAATAATAAGAGGTGCAAGGTAATATTAATACCAACATCGCGTGTTATGTAAGGGATAATGTACAGGCAGCCGGTAGTTATCGCAGAAATAAGCCCCGACAGTGTGATCAGGACCCGACGCGAAGCGGAGGGTCTTGTATCACACTGAAGGGGCTTATTTCTGCGATAAC